TATACATGAGTCTGGGTATATAAACCCAGGCTCAGAATAATAAAGATCAATACGAAACTAAACATCATCTTAGTCAAGTGTATTCGTTCATTTATATTGTACTCAAAGTAGTCTATATAACTCTAAAATTCATCTTTGCTCTACATGAATATTCAATCAAGGTACAGGGTACCTAACAGTCGATTAAACAGCTCAAACTATTATTTCTTTTGTTTTATCTGCATACGAAACATATGGATGAAAATTAAAACCTTTATTCATATATTTATATTATTACTTTATAATTCATATAATTATTTCTTTTAAGTTCTTATATTATTTTGCCATTTCACTCAATCCACTTGCTTTGCTAAATGTTTCTTTTTTTTCTTCTTCAAAAATGTTTTATTTGAATCATGTTAGTTCTGCTTAGCGAACGCCCTCGCGCTGAGCATAGCGTCTGTGCATTTGTTTGTTGCCTAAGTCGTGGCCGAAGTGTGCGGTTCTATGGTGTAATGGTTAGCACTCTGGACTTTGAATCCAGCGATCCGAGTTCAAATCTCGGTAGAACCTGTTGAATCGAAAAAGTTTTTATGATAAACAATTTTGTATTTTTTTTGTTTTTTTCGAAAATATAGTAAAAAATAAAATAAGTTTTCTGACTTTATGGCTTATAAAGAAACAGAAATAAATATCTATAAATAATATGTAATATTATTATTTCTATACTTAAATGATATATTCATTTAATATTTCAGAATTATAATTCACAAATTTAAGTTTAAATACGTTTGTGGACTTAGCTTAATGTGTGTATTAATATTAATTAAGTTTTGCCGTTAAATTGATGTCCATATTATTCTAATGTTGCTTTGACTGATGCTGATTAACAATATTTTTAGCTCTGATTTAATTTGATAAGCTTACATCTTGATGTATATGTATGTAAATTTATGTATACTGTATATGTATACTTAAAATACCCTTTCTGCCCCTTTAATTAGTAAATTTAATGAAATCAATTAGTTAATCGTTCTCTCTATCTATACCATATATGTGAATTTGGAATAGTTACACTTTGTATTATTCCTGTGCATTTGCAATCATTATTGTATATAGTTAATTGATAGCTTTACTAATTTGATATGTGCATGTACATATATTTATATATTATAAATATATATATATATATATATATGTATGTATGTATATATGTATATGCATATAAGCATCGTCAGTCCTATCAGCTTAGTTTATTATTGAATTGCCACAATTCCAATCAAATTATGAAGCTCAAATCAAGTGCACAGCTTTGTTGAATATATATGTACATACATTTGAGCACATGTAAAAGTGATATATATATACATATATACAATATCTGTATATATATGTATATAATTGGCAATGACCTTGACAGTAATTGCATTGAAAGAGCTGTGAGTACGAAATTGAGGAAACATGTAAATGCCAATGACCGCCATCGGTACACTGTGCACACTGGACACATAGATATATGTACATACATACATATGTATAGATAAAAGTCAATAAATTAAATTTATTTATTAAATATTTAAATTTAAAAATGATTTAGTTATTATAAATAAATAAAGAAAAAAAAGCAAGACATAATATATAAATGTATATAAATATAAACATATATTTTACTTTAGTATTTTCCAATTACACTGAAAACAACAAGTTTAACATCAATTTCAAATACTTTTACTTACTAAAAAAATGTTTTATTAAAGTTCTGAACATGTTTTCATTTCATACAATGTAATTAAATTAGCCAAATTATTCTATTATTATTATCATTAATATTATTATGAATCTGTAATGATTTATCTTTAAAGAGATAATATTATTTATATTTATTTAAATTGCGTTGGACGACAATTATATTAATTTATTTATTATTTGCTAGTAAACAATTTTATTACATAGTATAATTTTTCTCATATCTAGTTTTCTCTCAGTGGAAAACTGAACTCCAACAATCTGCACTGGCAGCTATGACAACGAAAATGAAAGCAAATTCAATTAGTTTAATAACAAACGTTTCTGTACATAGTTATGGGTGATACATATAGGTATAGCTATGTATTTATGTACATATGTATATATGTATGTATGCTGTCTATGTATTTATAAATCGTCAAAACAACAACGCCTTCTACAGCACGTTGTTGTTGTTGCTATGATTTTAGGGGGCCTGGTGCTGGCAGCTGCCGTTGCTTGGCGTTCAGTTCCATGCGAGACGTTGAGCAGACGCGTGCCTGCTGCTAGCTGAAATCAAGTATACGCATCGACACTAAGTGTACCCGGCGGGATGTCAGCTTTCTCGAAATTATTGTCGCTGACCGGCTGCTGTATGTCTCGCAGGCAATTGCTATAATCGCCTCTCCTATATTCACTCACATACATACATATCTACATATATCTACTTTTCCATTATGCAACGCTTGACGCTCATGACGCTCCCAGCTGGAAGGCAGCCAATGCGCCAGTACAGCGCCGCAGCGCAGTCGCAGCTGCGAGAGCTGCTCGGCAAGCAGCTGAGCGACATTAGGGAGGCTGGCACGTTCAAGGCGGAGCGCATCATCACCTCGTCGCAGAGCACACAGATTACGGTGCAGGGCAGCGACCAGAAGATACTCAACTTCTGCGCCAACAACTATCTCGGCCTGGCGGTAAGCGGGTGGGCCAGTTGGGGCAGACTCTCTTTATATACTCCCTCGAATCTTGCAGAACAATCCGGAGATTGTGCAGCACAGCCAGCAGCTGCTGGCCAAGTATGGCGCTGGCTTGAGCTCGGTGCGCTTCATCTGTGGCACTCAGGACATTCACAAGCAGCTGGAGCAGAAGATCTCGCAGTTCCATGGGCGTGAGGATGCGATATTGTACGCCTCCTGCTTTGATGCCAACGCTGGCATCTTTGAGGCAATCCTCACGCCAGAGGACGCCGTCTTCTCGGACGAACTGAACCACGCCTCCATCATTGACGGCATTCGCCTCTGCCGGGCCAAGAAGCAGCGCTACAAGCACCGCGATCTGGCTGACCTGGAGCAGCAGCTGCGCTCGTCCGATGCCCGGCTCAAGCTCATCGCCACCGATGGAGTCTTCTCCATGGACGGCAACATAGCGCCGCTGGCACGCATCGTCGAGCTGGCCAAGAAATACAATGCCCTGGTGTTTGTAGACGAATGCCATGCGACTGGCTTCTTCGGTGCCACCGGGCGCGGCACCGAGGAGTACGACAATGTCATGGGCGAGGTGGACATTATCAACTCAACGCTGGGCAAGGCCCTGGGCGGCGCCTCTGGCGGCTACACCACTGGTCCGGCCGAGCTCATCTCATTCCTGCGGCAGAAGTCACGCCCATATCTCTTCTCCAACACGCTGCCTCCAGCGGTGGTTGCCGTCGGCCTGAAGGTCATGGACATGCTGCTCAGCTCCAGCGAACTCAGCCAGCGCGTCCAGAGCAATACCCAACGCTTCCGCCAAGCCATGACCAAGGCGGGCTTCACCATTGCCGGCGAAAACCATCCCATTTGCCCGGTCATGCTGGGCGATGCACGTCTCGCATCCAGCTTCGCCGATGCGATGCTCAGTAAGTCTTCCTCCCTTCTCGCTCTTCTCTTTTCACCTCTTTTTGTATATTCTTTCCCCTGCAGCTCGAGGAATTTATGTCATCGGCTTTAGCTACCCGGTGGTTCCGCAGGGCAAGGCTCGTATACGCGTCCAAATCTCTGCAGCTCACACGGAGCAGGAAATCGATCGAGCTGTTGAGGCATTCATCGAGGTCGGGCGCTCATTGAAGGTTATCAAATAATGATATCACGTAGAGTTTTCTACGTCCTTTTCTGTTGCATTTAGAATTATTGCAGGAAATCCGTTGGCATTTACCGAACTGCAGCGCAGTTTTAAATATATACAAGCTATTTTTTTTTTAGCAAATTATAATATACGTGGTTTTCTTCACTAACATTATGGTATAGCCTTAAAAATGCTTTCGTAATATCTATAGTATTCGCTAAGTTTTCCCAGATTGTTGACTATTCCCTTTGCCATTCGTATCAATCTCTATTGCTTGGAAGATCGCTCTGCTATGTGATTCTCAAAAGTATAAAGTTTCCACTCTCTATCGCTATGCCAACAGCATCAGGACTCTCGTTCTTCTGTGTAATTCTCAAAAATATTCAACTTCTATTACGTAGATTCAACTCTTACAGAATCACATTATCTTACAACTAAATGAAATAAAATTGTCAAATTCTTTTGAGTTGCTTTTTTATTTGGTTTGTCTGATTAACTAAGCTGCTTTTACTATGTAAGTATAATAATCATAATCATAATTATAATAAACAATCAGAATTACACATTAAGCTTAAACTAAAATTGCACATTAAATGAATGACTCGTCACAGTGGGGCGAAATGCAGGCGCTGCCCTACTGATTACACTGATTACACCAAAATAGCAATAACAAATTAAATTCGCGACTGTCTAAACAATAAACTAAAATTATACAAATAACAAAAGCGAACACAATACAAATATGCAAAATACTTTTGCAAAGCGATAATTGTGCGAAGATTGGGCTAAATGAATTGCATAGAATGCGCAACTGGAACAAGGATTCGATTTATATACTGTGACTATGAGAACTTTGGTTAGTTTATGCGTGTGCTTGTGACTCTTCGACTGAGATGAGTTGGGTTAGTAATTCGTTTCACTACTTGTTGACGAGGCCGCGCGCCTTGGGATAGGCGGAGGCCGGCTTCTTGGGCTGCAAACGGCCGGTGGGCGGCCGTCGATTGGAGTCGAGCGCAGAGCCCGCGCTGGGCAGGCCGCTGCGCGCGGACTTGACGAGCTTGGAGGTGGCCGTAGCACTTGTGGGCGAGACATCAGCTGAAGCAGTGGCGCTGCTGCTATTAGCATTGCCGTTAATGATGTTCTCGAGGCGCGCGCGCAGCGAATTGGTCTGGGTGTCCACAATGTCGATGTCATCGCCGGTGTGCATCGCCTGGGCCAGCACCGCCTGCAGGGAGGCGGACACCTTGGGCGAGCGGTACTCTTGAGTGGTGCGGCAGGGCATGTCCAGCTCGTAGCTGACAATGTTTTCGCTCTTGAAGCGCAGTGCACTGGGATCATTCGACTTCGCCTGCTGCAGTGCATACTCGGAGATGGGGCGTCGGCGCTGTGGATGCGCGACGGGACGTTTGTTACTAAATTTGCCATCGCCGGCATTCATCGGCAGCGCGGCGAACTTCCACTCCTCCTGCTCCTCGTCGTACTTGGCCTGCGTGTAGAGGCGCTGCTTCACCTCGATGGGCACAAAGTTGTCGATGATGAGCAGCTGGCGTTTCAGCTCCTTGACCAGCTCGTTCTGCGCCATCTCCAGCTCGCGCAGATCCTGATTGTGGTCGTGCTTGCAGTCGTTCAGCTCCTGCTGCAGCGCCAGATACTTGGCATAGCACTTGGACAGTTTGCGTTTCTTCAACTCGACCTCTTGCTCCAGCGAGACGTTGCGCTCTCGTATCTCCAGAGTTGTTTCCTCCTGCAGTTCCAGCTGCTGTTGTATTTCTATTTCGCGTTTCTTTCGCTCCGCGATCTCTACCAGCTTCTTCTCCAACTCAATTTGACGTTCACTGTACGTGTCCAGCAGATTCTTGCCGCCGCGCACCAACTGACTCTCCAGCTCGGCCAGTTTGGCCGCCAGCTTCGCGTTCTCCACGCGCTCGCGCTCCAATTGCTCACTGGACTTGGCCACTTCCGCCTCGTTCTCCTTGTCCGACTCTGGCTCCGAAGCCTCTTGCTCGCTCTCCGCTTCATCCTCGGCCGCTTGTAATTGCTCTTGGGTCACGCTGTCCGTCAGTTCGCGTTTCACTGGTTCCCGTTTGGGCTTCTTGACGCGTTTCTTGGCTGCTGCAGCCAGTTTCTCGGTGCGCTGTTGTTGCTGAGGCGCAATGAGGCGCTTGAGTCGCTCAATCTCCTCCTGGTACTCCTTCAATTTGGCATCCTGCGGATCCTCGTTCTTAATTGGCTGGTTCTGTATGTTCTTTGCACGTTGCGCGTATCGCAGCGTCGTCAGCGTCTCATTGTAGTTATAGTTCGAAGGGCCGATGTTGGCAATCATGATCGTCTTGGAATTGCCGCCCAGCGAGTCCTGCAGCAAGCGCGTCAGTTTCGAATCACGATACGGTACATGGGGAGAGTTCTCTGCTAGCGCTGAGATCACATTCCCCAGCGATGAGAGCGCCAAATTGATTTTGCTGGCCTCCTTCAGCCGTTCCGCCGATGCGCCAGTCTTTGACTGACGCTCGCTGCCTGCCAAGTCAATGAGATTCAGCTTGCCCACCTTGATCGTGTTCGTTTCCGTGTCGCACATCTCAATCTTGATCATGAATATGGCATGCGAACTACAAGATAATCAATACAGCAAATCAATCAGGTTAGTCAACAATTCTATGCCAGGACTTACCGTGAGCTATGCTCGTTCATGTTGGTGAAGCCAACGGTGCGGTTTTTGTTGCCCACCTTCATGACGTCTATCATGTCATCGACGCTCTTGCAATTGATGGCGTGCAGATTGGGCACATAGACGCCGGATCCACGCTCTCGCACCTCCAGGTGCTTGGAATTCGGCTTAAGTAGATCGCGCAGCTCCTCCATATAGATCTCCAAGTATGAAACGTCCACCAGAAACTGGAAGTTTTCCGTGCGATTAATGTGAAGCCAGATCTGTTCAAAGGTGCGTGGTATGATGCCCATCAAGTCATCGTTGCCCCGTACTCCTTCCATCGTGAATGTTTTGCCTGTGCCCGTTTGGCCATAGGCGAATATGCAGCCGTTGAAGCCTTCCAGCACAGAGCTGACCAGCGGAAAGACCACTTCATGATACAGCGTAGTTTGTGAGGCCTGAGCATCATAGGCCGCATCATAGGTGAACACTTTGCGCTGCTCTTTGTTGGCATCCACAAGATTCTGTAGCTCTACGACACCACGATTTGGATACACATTGACCACTTCCGGTGAGCCCTCAGTGCGCTCTCGATTGCTCATCGGCCGACATCGTACAACCACCTGGACGCACTCATTCGGCGTCTGGCTGCCCGCAGTGCCAGGGCGTTTGCTCTTCGCGCTCATACTGCTCTGCTCTGCTTTGCTGGTGGCTGTTTTTGGAGACGGTGACTAAAGCAGCCTTGCCTTCGTACCCCCTTTTCACCCCGCGCACTTCGGTCAGCTGCTGTTTTGTGTGGGGCTGTAGCTGTGACGACAAACAAATGTCAAATAAAATCAATAATTTGAGAGTGACGCGAATCTTGGCTGAATTCGAGTTTCTTATTGTGTCTTCATTTATTCTCATAAATGACGTCACTCTATTGGCCAAATTTTGTGCACAAGTTGGAGTTAATGCTTTGCAATAATTACCTGTATTTTTAAAAGCCAAATTACTTCACCTTGGGTACGTTTTTTTTTTATTGTTCAGCTGCTACCGCTAGCTAAGCTATCGATAGTACTTCGATTGGCCTAATGGGTATTTTATAATCGAAAAATACCAGATTTGCCAAGAATTTAAATTGAATACTTAATAACGATAAGTATAAATTATCGAAAAATCGAAATCGTGACTTACAAAAATTCAAATAAGTATATTGTTTTTTATACCCTGAACCCATTGAAAATGGGAAATCAGGGTATAATGTTTTT